GTACGACAATAATCATTATTTTGACATAACCATAAACATGCTTTCATTGACGTACTTGGAAATGCACCAAGAAAATGACGATGAAAAGAATGAGAATAAATGGATTGTTGATAAATACGTGCACGAGCTAATCGCATTGATATTAATGAAGATGACTCAATATGGATCATATTTGAAACAAATAAGAATAAAAAGCAATGAAAACGTTTAGCAACTTTCATAATGTTTAGCTTATCTATTATAATCACTTGTTACTAGATCTAAATTAAACAAAAAAGATAAAATATACAATAATACTCAACAAAATTGAAGAGAGATATTTCTTCATAAACAATCTCTAAATGAAACTATACAAATATCATTAGAATTCTTTGTTTTTCTCAAATTAATCTCATCTTACTATATTAAATATAGATTCTATTTATTAACCGGAACAAAAAAATATATAATTAAAGAATATCAAATGTGAGTCAAAAAATTTATGCATAATATAATAGTTAACTTTAAGTCGTGGACAGTTAAGAAAGGTTTTGTCATGTATTTTTGTAAAAACAAAATGCAAAATTGATTCTTTCAAACTAAACACTTGTATTCGAAGTTATAGGAGACATTACTAGCATCTGTGAGAAATGAGACGGAAAATATTATTGAATAAATCTATTTATATTTTAAGATTAAACAACATACTTTTATTATGTTTAAGAAAAAACAAGAAAACAGACTAAAAGGTTTTAGAAAATGATGATGTAAACGTTGGACTCAAGGATGTACTTTTACTGTTTGTTTATGTTGAAAAAGAAATAAAATCTTTTTATATTGAAGTATATAATTGTTTTATTTTAGAATAAGAGAAAAACTAAAAGGCTTCACAGAGTACTAATTTACAGTTGAGAATGAAGGATATATATTTCTACTACAGAAGACAAAAACTAAACGAGACGATTCTCATCGATTAGATAGTGTGCATTTGAATCATTCATAGTGCAAGTTTTTTTCTAGAAGTATTAAAATATGTTACTCTTAGAAATAATATACAATTGTAATAATCGATCGAACACATATAGAATGAAAGGGTGCGGGTGTGGGTGAGTGTGAGGATTTAAAGAAGAATATAGTAGATGTCTACACCCACACGCCTATTCATTTTGATAAATGTTTGAAGGGTGGGTGTGAGTGTGAATATATTACTCATCAGACAACCACACCCACACCCACTTTTAACTAATTGATAATCCATATTATTTATACCAAAACCATTCATATCAAGAATAACTATACCAGTTTCAATGGATCCTTTAAGTAATTTTCGACTAGTTTCCACTGATAAAATACCTAATTTTTCAGTTGCTTCAATAGAAAATTGATCTTTAACATGAATATAATTTATTGGACGACCCATTTTATTATAACCCATAAAATAAGTTTTACCACTCATTAATTCTTCTATAAGAAGTTCATTTTCACCTTTAGCCAATAATTTATCAACACCTCATTCATGTCTCCAATTGAGAGTATCAATTAATTGTTGAACAGTAGCGTACAAAAATATAAGACTCAATTTTCGAGATTTTCTAAAACAAAGCAATTTCTTATTAGTATGTCTTCTTTCATCATTTTCACTTCTAAACAAATATAAGAATGATATAACTATAATTAGGATAATTAAATGTAAATAATTCTTAGAAGAAAACATTTTCTACTTGAAAGAAGGAAAGCAATCATTCGTCACTTGTATGCTAAATTTATGGTATTTCTCAAGATAAACTCCACGTACACAGAAAATGATATCATTATTACATATATGTAAATCATTTTTTTCAAGAAGAAAAATGTGATCCACCACTATCAAAATAATATCGAATTATTCAAGTATACTGTTGACTCATCGAGTATTGCAATTATCTTAAGCAAATAGGCAACCCTGCTGTTTTAATATAATTATACTACATTTTTAATAATATTATGTATTTTTATTGTAATTTTAATAATGTTTCATTTTTTCAACACATTTATTCACATGACAAAAATAATTTGAGAAGAAAGAAAATAATCAAACACACTATTACAATATCCAAATTTTCCAAACAATTTTTTAGTTCTGGCGAGTTTTTACTGTCGTTGTTCCAACTATGTTCGTTGGCTTTTTTACACGATGTAATAGTTTCAACATCCACTTCTTGAAATCAGGAAGTAATCCAAGACACATCCATGGAAGTAAAAGACAGATTAAATATGTAAGATCTGATACAATATATTCTTCTATTGCATATAAATAATTTGATGGACTTATCTGTTGTATAACACCAATAATAACATTCGGTAGCCATGTTAGCAGATAAAGACTTGAGATACTGATTAATTGTAATGTCATATGTCTTTGTTTTGACCATGACACAACTCGTTGTCGACGATGTTTTTGTCTAATTACTCTGATGACAAGTATTACATTGCCCAGAATGATGACAAAAATCGGTAATCCAGTATTCATTATCCAATCATATCCAGCTAATATTTCGTTATCTGAAAGATAACAGATAGTATCACCACATGCATTCAATGTAAAGTTCCATTGTGCTTCATCACATGAATACAATATAATAGTACCCAGATAAAAAATAACTGGATAAATAATACAGAAGAGAAGTGGTAGATAGTATAGAAGATAACGTTTGAAACGTATATGTAATATATTTGGTTGAAAAATCAGTGTATGTCGTTGAACAGATATGATGGCTACTAAAAATTCATTTGCTGCATCAAGAGTAGACTCAATGTACATCCAAGTTTTACAATATGTGCCTGTTGCTGGACTAACACGATTGAGACGAAGAAAATCTAGAAGTATTGGTATATTAAGTGATAATTGAGTAAAATTAACCATAAATAAGATTAACAAAGCTTGATTTTGTAGTTTATTGAAATATTGACGATTAGTAATGGAGAATGTAAAAATGAGAAGAAAAAGAGTAATAGCTGAAATTTCCAAGATTAGAACAACGAAAAATTTGATACTATGGATAAGATGTCCTTCATTTGCTAATTCTTCCATCTTGTTAATGGTTAACTGTAGAGTCAAAAAGAAGCAGTCGTATGCTTCTTAAAGTAATTTTATAATAATAATAAAGTCTTATTTCTGACGTGCTCGCTTTGTACTTTTATTTCTTCACCTCTTTTTTGTTATCTTTTCTTAACTCTATATATAGACTTGTCTCTTCGATAGCGGAAGCTAGACCTTAAGAATTTCATATACTAATGAGAATCATTAATATATAAAATTAAACAATATTCTACTACGCATTTTATTTTAATCTTTAAATAAGACGAAGATCATTTCATTATTTCTTATACATTTGCTCCTATATATTAATTTGAATATATGCTAGATTTTGTGAGAAGAAAGGCTAATTTCAATATCGCTCCAATACATGTCATACAAAGATGACTGAAATAGATAATATCAATATTAAAAAAAAATCTGTATGCATCTAGGTATATAGATATTTAGAAAGAATGAATTTTTTTAAAAACATATCCTTTGAAGTGATTGAAAAGTATTCTTGTACAGTTTTTCATCTCTTTCTCTTAATCAACATTCTTATTAAGGTATCATCACTGTCATTGAATTATGAGCATCAATATTCAAGCAAAATTTTTAAACTATTAACTAAGTAATATACATATGTATTAATATAAACAATATATCGATAGTTCTCTGATCATAAGTCTTTAGGCTGTAGGTCTAATCGTATTTTGTCGAGTTGTTATATGCTTGAATCGCTTTAGCATCCATTTATGAAAATCAGGAAGTAATCCAAGAGACATCCATGGCATTAATAGGCAATTCAAATATGTAAGATCTGATATGAAATCTTCTTGAATTCCATATAAATAATTCGATGGACATATCTGTTGCATTATACCAGTAATAATGGTAGGTAACCATGTTAATAAATAAAGACTTGATATACTAACTAGTTGCAATGTCATACGCCGTTGTTTCGACCATGAAACGGTTTTTTGTCTACGAGATTTTTGTTTAACTACTCTTATGATGAGTATTAGATTGGCCAACATTATAAGAATAATTGGTAAGCCACTATTCACTATCCAATCATATGTAGCCAATACTTCACTACCTGATAGAAAACAAATTGTATCACCACACATGTTCAATGTGAAGTTCCATTGTGCAGGATCACATGGATAGAATACAACAGCACCCATGTAAAAACTAATGGGATAAATAATGCAACATAGAAGTGGTAAATAGTATAGGAGATAACGTTTGAAACGTATAATAAATAGATTTGGTCGAAAGACTAGTGTATGTCGTTGAATAGACATGACAGCTACTAAATAATTAGTTACTGCTTCAAGAGTGAATTCAACATACATCCAAGTTTTACAATATGTACCTGTTGCTGGACTAATGCCGTTGAGTTGAAGAAAATGTATGACCATCGGTATATTAATTAATAACTGAATAAAATTAAAAATGAATAAGATTAATAGTGCTTGATATTGTAGTTTACGTAGTTGAATAGAATTAATCGCGAAGAATGTAAAAATAAATAGAAAAAGAATAATTGCTGGAATTTGTAAGAAGAGAACTATGTAGAATTTAACATCATATATAAAATCTTGATCGGTTCTTTTTATGACGAGCATCTTATTGAAAATAGAACTTGAGATAGAAATGAAAGATAAAAACTATTTTGTAATATTCTCTAACTGTAATAATATTATTCTCGCGATGATACTTTCACATCATTTTTTTCTTTCTTTTTTCAAGTCTGCTTCTCTTTCTATATATAGAATTGTCTCATTTGTGTTAGAACATGACCGGAAAATAAAGTACTTTTATAAAAATACTATAACTGTGACTGATAAGGATCATCCTTGAATATGTTCTATTTAATTACTGCAATTAATTTCGAGATACCTTTTTGAAAGCATGATTTAACTAGAATACATAATTGGTATTCACTAATGAAGATGAAAATATTGATGTATTGTGTGCTTTAGCAGATCTGATGACAAGTATTTATATTTATAGTTTTATTCTGTCGATCCAGGCTCTTCTACATATACTATTCATTTCTCTTTAATTATGAAATGCATCTTTATCTAGTCCTTTGTCATTATTAATCCTAGTGCTTAAAGCATCTAAAAGTTTTGCTCACTAGTCAACGATCTGGCCTCTCATCTTTCCATTTTCTTGGTTATCAGTCAAGATTCTTGGCCGAAAAATTAGATCTGAACATTTTTCAATCAAAGAACAACCAATCACACTCACACCCTACTTTGCAAATTTTAATGTTTCATAATTCATAACCAAATATGTATAGTAGAAAGATTGTTGTAGTCATATCGTTCAATGACCAAATACACGGATGTCGTCTGATCCCAATTTTTTTCATAAGATTCTAAGGCATTCTGTACTGTTTCCTCTTCGTGCCATATTTTTAATGTAAAATACGTCAGCTTAGGAAAACAGTTCTTAAGATCATCGATCAGATTTTTCGGTGAGGATGCTAATGAATAAATATTTAGAAATTGTGCAGTGCTGATGAGCTTGAGTACTTTTAGATTTGGAAATGATACAGATAGTTTATGGAAAAAGTTATCGTCTCCATATGGCAGGTTACATTTAAATTCTGATATATTGCGTCGTCTTGTTTCATTGGGAAGCAGTTCTCTAATGTGCAGAAACAAGGTGTTCGAGTCGGGACACTCGTCCACTTCGATAGAGAATAGATTAGGGGTTTGAGACAGAAGTGTGGAGAAGAACTGGCGTAATTCAGGTGTCTCTGATCTTGAAGAATATGTAAAGACGATCTTTCGTAAATTTGATAATATAACTGAATTTTCTCTAAGATTAAATGTTGCAGTTGGCAGACGATAATCATAGTGATAGCAAAGCGTATCAGAAGTACTGTTATGCCTGTATGAAGCAAATTCTCTCTTTTCTCTGACAAATTCAAATAATCAAATGGCTGTGGTCGTGGTGAAGTAAAGACTGAAATATCTTCAACGTTTGAAAATCGATCATCAGGGTGAGAACTGAAGTGAATGTCGTATTGAAAACTCTGAAATTCATCAAAATCATAGTTAACATTGCGAGCGGGTAGTGTTAAAATTTTAACATTTGTCTTGAAAGGATGCCAGATGTCTCTAATGTTTGCGGTATCTGTAAATTTTCCATATCAGTTATTAATTTATCAACACGGGTAATTGAAAATTGAGGTTCAAGAAAATTAGTCATAAAAGTGAAGAGTTTTTTCAAATGCTTGAAAGAGTCAAGCACAAATGATAGGTGTTTCATGTATGTCATTTCGTGGGAGAATTCATCGAAATAGGAAATAGCGCCTGGATCGAGTAGAGATAGTGAGTAAGTTCAGATTTGTTAAATGAGAGATATGAGGATGAAGTAGTTCTAGCTGGATAAATTTTCCGTGTAATGGCAAGGTATAATTGAAAAACAACTGCAAGTGCCCATAAAGCGTATGTTGAAAAGATAGATCGATACTGTATAGATACGGTTCGACTAATCGCTGACTGAGATTATCAAAAGCGTAGATAACATCGAATTAGTGCAAGTAGCGAAAGATGAGTAAGAACAGCTCGTCAGGTAGTGATTGCATGTTTTTCATTTTTGAAAATGAATAGAGAACAGAATACAGCTCTTTTTCACATACTTACTTGCACGGGTAAATAGGTTGTGCAATAACTGCAGCAAACATATTCACTAGTGAAGAAACACAATGAATCAGAGCAGAATGTTGTAATAGATGAAATTACTACTGACTGTTTTTTTCTTTCTATTTCATTGAATTGTGTAATAACAACGTGCATCATAAAAAGCTTTTTCTTTTCTCCTTCTTTGAGAGATAGATAAATGGCTGAAATAAACTCTATTACTACGGATAATTTCTCAACTGGTATAACACGATTTGTATGTATTAGTGATAATCATGATAATTACGATTTTACTCTTCCCGATGGTGATCTATTACTACATTCAGGTGATTTTACTCGTAATGGAACCGAAGGTGAAATCGAAACATTTGTAAATTGGTTAAAAAATTTGACTCAATTTCGTTTAAAAATAGTTATCGTTGGTAATCATGAATCTAAACGATTTTATACAAGAAAACGATATAAAAAACTACCAGTCGCTATTGATGAATTAAAAAAAGATAAATCATTAGTTTCAAAATATGGTATTGTCTATCTTCAAGATGAAGCGTTTCAAGATCCAGTAACTGGCTGGAAGTTCTATGGAAGGTAAATATTCTATAAACAGAAATCTTTGATTTGTTTATTTTTTGTTCAATAGCGGTTGGTTATCTGAACAATGTAAAGATCCAGATGAAATTCGTCGCCATTGGTCAGAAATACCAATCGATACAGATATTGTTCTCACACATGGTCCACCTTATTCTATTTTGGATGTCACATCCGGTACAGCTTATAATCTTGGTTGCAAAGAATTACTGAAATCAGTAACAACTATAGTTAAACCAAAACTTCATGTTTTTGGTCATGTACATCGAGCATATGGACAATTAAAAAATGAAGATGAATTCGGAAAAACATTGTTTGTTAATGCATCCTTGTGTGATAGTCACTTTCGAACAGCCCATTTACCTATTGTAGTTGATTTAAAGAAAGATGAATAATTCTAATCAGAGGGTGTGGGTGTAGGTAAACAACAAATCCTCACCGATCCCATACCTCACCCTCGAGGAAAATCTTTTTTTGAAATAATTTAATTATATTCTATGGATTTGACAACTGATTATTTCGATTTCCTTGTCCGTTTTCACCAGTAACAGCTATTCCCTTTTGTTTCCATCTATGAATAATTTTATCTAAAATAGATCAAAATTTATAGTTGCATCTATCACTTCACGATCTACTCACTTTTCATTGGATAAGAAACAGGACGATCATCACATTGAGGATGTTGAACACAGATCGTATTCGATTGAATACATGAATTGTTCGTAGAATTGCATCGTAAAAGACGAGAACATGTTGGCCATAGAAAACCACAAATACTTGTATCATCATTAGCACCTACCTTATGAAAGCATCCACAAGCACTATTCGTGGAACATTCACCATATTGAGGTGTTTTTTCACATATTTGAGATTTGATTTGAACTATAAAAGCGATAAACTAATACATAAAAAACATATAAAATAGAATAGAAAACAAACCTATTGGACTAAAATATAAAATAAATGAATGTTAGTAAAATTAGTGATAAAAATCAATAATTATTTACCTCAGAATAATGAAAACACCATAGCAGTCTATCTTAATTCTACTCATAGTTGATTCTTAACTCAAATAATATCCTCAAGAAATATGCGCTTTTATTTCTAAAATACAGATAATATATTAAGTCGATTTAATCGAAATGTAACAGATGCATTTATTCACATATCAATAATTGAAAATTTGATATTGCTTCCATTACTTCTAATCTATCCTTCACCTACACACTTTATAAAATATAAATTTGTGTTATATTTTTCTGTTACATAGACGAACGAAAGAAAAAGAATCTAATTAAAATTATTTTTTTTTCTCACTTACTGTGCACGTGTTCTATGTCACAAAATACGCATAGAAAAGAATAAATATTTTGCAATTACATATTCTCTATAAGACAAAAAAAAGTAGCGTGTTATTAAAGAGACGCAAAACATGTCATCAACTCTCGAAACATTACCGGATGAAATTTTAATGATTATTTTTCAATATTCAGGCGATGTTAGTACCATACTTCGAACATTTCTTGGTTTAAATCAACGTTTAAATAGAATTCTTATCGATAGACGTTTGCATTTATTTGGTAATTACTTATCCATCAACAAACATCATCTATCTTCCAATGATTATTATAATTCTAATGTATTTCATGAAGTATCTCATAAATTATTGATTATAAATCAGCCAATAAATGACGATGAACTTGATCAATATTTTCAAATGTTAATGTCATTTCATATACAACAGTTATATAAACAATCAGGAAATGAATATCAATCAAATCTAATAAAATTTCAAATTCAACGTCAAAATCTTACTAATGATGAGATTATTGATGTCGATGATGAGTTAAATGAAATATTTTTGAATTTAAATCAGTATCCGATTAATATTACGGATATAAATCAAATCGAATATTTGGTTCATAAAAGAGGTGCACGTCTTCAATGTAATGAATCTGAACAGAGTTCCTTTAATTTTACTAAAGCAATCAATTATTTGTTGTCGCAAGATGTTTCTAATAACAATTGTAATAATAAAGAATTTTATTATTTAATAACTCGAATGTTTAAAACATTAATCGTGTCAAATTATGATCTTTTGAATAATCGAGATTTTTATATTTATAGTATTCGTACTGTTTGGTATTTTCTTATTTTTACTGTCTATCGAGCATACAATTATTGTTATTCTAAGCTTATTTTACCTATTAATATGGAATGTTATCGAGCAGTAGTTAATTTACTATTATTTTCTATACAATGTAAAAAATTAGAAGTTAATATTGATGATTGGATTCAACAAACTCTTTTCGATATATTAAGAATGGTATCTTCTCTTGAAACAATGGATAAATTCGATAATTTTATTAAAAATACTCAATGGGAAATATTGAAAATTATAACTGATATGTATATTTCAACAGAAACAATTTTATGGCATGATGATATGAACAACAAATTTCAATCTATTCTTGGTAATTTATTAAATAAAAATCGTGTAGATATCATTCTGTTTATCTATCGTCATATTGATCATATACGATATTTTTTTAATCAATCAAGTAATTGCCGTAATTTTGTTGATATAATGACAAGAAATCAATACAATCGACAAGCATTTGAAATACTTATAGATGAAAAACCATCAGAAACTTGGGTTCAAAGTAAAGAATTAGCATTTGTATTATTAGAGAAGAAAGAACGAAAATTCTTGGAAAAAATATTAAAATTATCACCATTTCTTGTTCATCAAATAAATGAAAATGGAAATAATTTATTACTTCATATCTGTTTAAAAGTTCGTGGTTGTCGACATCGAATAGTAAAATTTCTAATTACAATGAATTCTGATCTTCAACAAAAGAATTTTAATGGTGAAAACTTTTTTGATGCAATTCAATTAGAAAGAAATAGAGACCTCCTAGAAAAAATTGATTTCGGAGAAATTATTATACTTAATGATCAACAGGAAAACAAAAGAAACATTAAGTTTATAGACAACTGATAAATAAAAATTTCTCTGAACTTTTGGTAAGAATATACGATAAAGACTACAATAATCTTGAATTGATATATACTTTTTTTTACTTGAGTAACTATGTGTATTGAAATATCATCTTCAAAAAATCTGATAAATTTAAAAGAAAAAAAATTACCATACAATGCGTATGAAAGCCTTTTTTTATTAGGCAATATATCACACTACTAGATCATAAATATAACATATGGTAAATAAGTGTAGATTCTATATTTAAAATTTGAGTGAAGAAAAGTCACAAATTTAACAGATGAATAGCGTTTAGTTTTATTGTGGAGATATTTCTCTAGTATTAAACTATAGTCATTTCACTTTTTTTTCTTAGTGGGAATAAATAGCAGCACTGTATTCGTTTCTTCAATGATATCTTTAGTGAAAAATTACTTTCGTAAAGTAAATATTTACGATTCCGATTCTGATCTATCTCCTGAACAGCGTGATCATGGGAATCGTTCGAACATAATTGCTACTCGAATCTTTTTTATTATCCTTTTAATTACTCTTATCATCTTTATTTTGGCTTTTCAACTAAGTTACCAAACAATAATTGTCACAATATCTAATCCAACGCAAGAACAATTTAAAAATTTACCTTTCACTGCCTATTGTCCATGTTCTCGTATTTCTATATCTTATGATCAATTTACTAGTATTAATGTGAGATTTCATCAAGTTTGTTCAAGTGATTTTATTTCGGATCGATAGATTCAAAGTATTTTTACTGGTTCAAATACAACATATTTTTATATTATAGACTTTCGTACTTATGGAAGTGCAGCATTTCAAGCATTAGCAAGTTTTTGTCGTCTCTCAAAAACCAATGCATTTCAAAGTATTACTTTATTCAATCAAATGTCATTTATTAGTCCAAAAATATTAACTCAATCAGTATTTCAATCACAAATTGATGCATCGATTAAACAATTTCAATTGACAGCTCCTAATGAATTCAGAGCTCAATTAAATTTAGTACAAGAAATGACAACTCATAGTAAATTACAAAGTGCTCTTCAGACAAATTATCTTTTGTATTATTACGCATATAGCATCTGGCAGTTCACCCTACAGAGAGGTGCTTTAGGATATTTTCCTAGTAACGGTAATTCTTGCTATTGTACCAGCGATTTTAATTGCAAAAGATCATCGAAAATATACAATATATATGGAGAAGCTACTCAACTTATTGGCAATAGCAATTCAAAGATTTTAATGCGTATTAATGGATTTAAAGCTAGTTGTTTACCAGTGAGCGCAATTCTTTTATCAACACTTGAATGTTTTTATAATCAAACATGTTTGAATCAACTTATTTCATTTTTCCCTACAAATGAGAAATTTCTTGCAATGGAATTTTCTGAACAAAGTCGTTTTACAATTAATTCAACTGTACAAATGATTGTTAATGAACTTATGATAGAAGCATGGATAACAAACATTTCTTATGATAAATATTTTAAACAATGTGCACCTAATTTATGTACTTATACAAAAAATGAAAAATATGGTTTTACATTTATATTAACAAAGATGATTAGTCTACTTGGTGGATTTACATTAGTGTTGGGTGTTTCTGTTCAACTTATAGTAAAATTTATAAGACGATTACCAAGAACTGAACCTATTACATGTAAGTAAAACAAACAGTCCATTTTTGAGGGTGTGGGTATGTGTCATTGTGTAGGCATAGGTGCAGCAGAATTAATGCCCACACTCAAACCCATATCTACAACCACAACCACAACCACACCCACATCAACACCATCATCTATACTCACCCCTCAATGATATATATTTAAAATTGTTTCTAAATCATTTATTTTTCTAGTGTGTCAACGGATTAAATATCTCTTTCGAAAAATATGGACAAGACTTAATATATTTAAACATCATGACAGTAGTGAACATCAAGAGAGATATCAACGACTAGGTACACGTTTATATATATTTATTCTCATTATTACTTTAAGTATATTGAGTGTATATATATTAATCGAGGAAGGAATTCATCGTATAACTATTTTAAAACCAACAGAAAATCAATATAAATATTTTCAACAGATCTATTCTAGTAAAAGTATATGTCCTTGTTCTTCTATTACAATGACTTACTCAAATTTTATTACTATTCAACCATATTATCATCAAGTATGTTCAAGTGATTTTGTTTCTTCTCAATGGATTCAATACAGTCTAAGTAATACTCAAGGCATCCTCAATTTAGTTGCTGATTATAGACTCAATTCACAATCCCAGTTTGAACTACTTACAATGTTATGTCAACAAGCTCAACAAATAGTTGATAATGGTATTGAAACATTTCTTCAAACACAATATGTTTCTTCACAAATCGATTCTCAAGATCTATTTCAATCGAAAATAAATTTATTGATAACTGATTGGCGATCAACAATTTTAAATAGATATTTACGTCCTATTAACATTATTCGAACAATAAGTCAAGGAAATTTACTAATGAATTCCGGTTTAAATAACCACTTTTCTGTAACAAATTCAACTTATACAAATACAAAAATAATTATAAATAAATATTCGAATTGTTCTTGTGCACTATCTTCTCAATGTATGCAAGTTATGGGCATATATAAACAGATATCTGCAGCTGGATTTCAACTAATACTTCCTATTCCAAATTTTTTTATTGGTTGTTCTCCCGTTGAATCATTACTTAAATCCACTTTGGAAATTTTTTATAATCGAAGTTACATGGTTGAAATAGATAAATATTTACTCAATTCTCTCCGATCATCTTTCAATTTTTCTGCTTTAAATCCAAAATTAAGTTTACCAAATGAAACAATTGAAATCATCGTTAATCGACTTATGATTGATTCATGGTCATCAAATATATCTTTTTCGTCATATTATCAAACATGTGCTCCATCATCATGTACAATTGAATATATTGGCAAAAATAATATATTAGATGTGATTACATCTATTATTGGTATATTTGGTGGATTATCAGTTGGATTAAAACTTTTTTTTATTCTTATTCTTCGTTCTAGTGAAAAAATAAGCAATAATCTCTCATTTGTTGCAATGAAAACAGTGATAAAGAATTTATTTACATGTTACAATCAACAACAAATGATTACTCGAGTTCAAATATTTTTTCTTACAATATCATTATATTGTATATTTTTATATTCTACTTATACAACAAAATTAATAATTGTCGAGATTAATAAACCAACATTTTCAACTTATCAAACTTTATCATTAAATTATTCTCAATCGCTTCAATGTTTTTGTTCGGATATATCGATACCATATAAATCATTTCTTACGATTAAACCACGTTTTCATGATTTATGTTCAAGTCAATTTGTTTCTCAAGATTGGATTAATTATCTTTATGGTGAAGGTAATCTTGTTTATCGATATTCTTTTACTGATTTTCGAGCATCAGCAGTTGGTCAATTTCAGTTACTTACTTCACTATGTGAAATTTCTCAAGAAACAATCAATGTTAGTCTTACACGATTACTTACAAGTGATTATAATGATCGTCAACTATTATCAGAACAACGTCTAGATCAATTAATTCAAACACAGATTAATCAATTTCAATTAATTACACCGAATTCATTATTAAATATTCTCAATTTAATTCGTGAAACTATAGGTGCTAATATGATTATTACTGTATGATCTGTTAACTGGTTAATCGCTACTGAATCGATTATTCATCTTACATGGACTGCACATACAATACCAATAGTTTATGGAAAATGTAATTGTGGATTATCATGGACATGTACACAATCATCACAAGGTATGATGGTTGGTTGTTATCCACTTGAATCTCTTCTTCAAACAACACTTCGATGTTTTTATAATCAAAGCTGTATTGATTCGACACAGAAATTTACACAACTGAATATTTCATCTCTTAAAATAAGTCAATATCGAATGAGTACAACTATTCAATCAATTTTAAATAATCTAATGGTTGAAGAATATATAATTAATAAATCTTATGAAAACTATTTTAATCGATGTGCACCATCATCATGTTCATATAATTATATGAAAAAATATCAAGTTACTGAAGGAATAATAAATATCATTAGTCTCTATAGCGGATTAGTAATTCTTACTTGTTGTTTATCTGTGGTTCTAATTAAATTATGTTCATATAAATCAAATAGAATTACAATAGAAATTACAGAACAAAATACGTAATTGATTGAAATAACGATATTTCTTCATTTCGAACAAATTTTCAAACTATATGTTGTCCGTAATAAAGCTTTAAATATTGTATAAATATTATCTTATAAATTCTATCTATTATCATTTTAGAAATTAATTTTAAAGAATATAATATTAAATCAATGATTATAGTTTTGCAATTCGATACATATTTAATGAAAACAGATTTTACGTTGAGACATACTATAAAATATGATATAAGTGATAAAGAATAGAATTTAACTAACAGAACTATCAAATCTTTGATTTTTTCCTTTGAATCGGACGGCAGTAGTAGATAGCTATTTGTTCTAACAGAAAAACTATGCCTTCTTGAGGGTGTGGGTGGAGGCCAACAACATTATGCATGCAAGCATTAACAACATCAATACAACTCAAATAAAGTATTTCTCTACATTTAATTCAGTAAAAAATTGCCAAATTATACCTCATTGTGTAAGACTATAACCGATTGAAATCTTTCAAATCAACGATCATTCGATTTTCAATCAAAAATAACCTTCTAAATCATTAAAAATATAGTAAATCAAATTTGCATAATTTTAATCAAAATTATATTTGATTTAGAAGATTATTGTTTGCTTGCTTAAATGCAATTTAAAAAAAAAAGGCTTCTCTTTATTTATTTATTTAAAATAACTTCTATATCAATATAATGACATGGATTAGTCATCAAAAATGTTTCACTAAATTTTTTTTGAAAAAATAATTTAATAAGAAAATAAAACACACGATCTTTAGTTTTGACAAATACTGAAGATAAATATTACACTAATCAATAATGATTTCACTATGTAACTAAGAAAAATTCTCTTGGTTAGTTATTTAAAATAGGTGAAAACATATAAGCTGTGTATTAGTTTTGTTTCTTCTTTTACATAAATACATTAATAGGAAGAAATGTTTTTACGAGTTTATTATTTTACTCCTCACAAGTAATTAGAAATGAACAAGGTCTGTATAGATTTTACAATATTTATTCTAGACAGTCGTGTATATATCAGAATAAAATTTTTGTTTTTTGAAACCTTACTACTTCATTAAAAGTGCGCAAATAAAAACAAACAAATCTCAACTAGAGTATTTAAACCATAATTTTTTGTAAACATTTCATTTTTTTACTACATAGATGATGTTGATTGTGCGATCGCTTATAATCTTATTAGTAGGTTATAGTACTATTGTACATGGTGTTCATTTTCGTGGTGGTACAATAACATGGTACATAATATATATATAGTTTTCTACTAATAGATGTTTTTATTGTTCTATTTTATAGGCGTCCTTTGAATAATACTCCATCCGGTAGTACAGTTGCCGTTCAAATACGTGAACGATGGTCATGGAATCGTGCTTATAGTCCTAGTTTTTACTGTGATGATGCGACCATAGCTTTACATGATACTATCGGAGGTGGTCTTTATGTCACTTATGTATCTGGTACAAGTGGTTTTTGGACTATTATGAATACAGCAATAAACTGTACGGATTATAGTGTTGCACTTATTGTTAGTTCTGGAGAACATTATGAAACGCAAACATTTCCATTAAATACCTCATTTAGTATTGGTTTGTAAATGGTAATTGGCTTACAAATCTTGTTGTTGGTGGCAGCAATGGATGGAGTGTTGTCTGTCTAGTTAACACTAATCTAAGACCCGATGGTTACATAAATTCTAGTCCTATCGCTGTCAGTCTTCCTATTGTTTACAAAGAAATTAATAGTCAACAAGTACATGTTGTTCAAATGTCTGACTTTGATGGAACCGATATATTGAGATGCCGATGGGCAAATTCATCAGGTAATTTTAACGGTGCTGATGAATGTGGTGGTGTATGCTATGGTATTCCTGGTGCCAATCTTATTGGGGATAATTGCACACTTGTGTTTACCCTTACAAATGCTGGAGTGTATGCTGCAGCAGCATTACAAATTGAAGATTATTATAGTAGTTCATATACAACACCAATGAGTTCTGTCCCAATACAATTTCTTTTCTATGGTTATGCTGCACCTACCGGTACTTGTACTACTCCACCTGCTATCATTGGTAATCGGCCAAACAGAGGTAAATTATATATAACTTTATTATATATTCTTTCCACACATATAATTATTTACTCCATTTTAGCTTGTATTGGTACACCTATCGGTTCCAATGTTACTGAATATATTATTATACAAGTTTATTGTCCTGGACATGCCATTGTTGATTTAGTTAGTAGTGCTCCAACTGGTATGAAAAAAAGTGGTATTATCAATTCAAGTCCTAGTTAGTGTATATTATGTGTTTTATTTAATTTCTTGCATTATCTCGTTACAGATGTCTATGAAATCATTCTGAGTTGGTTTCCCATAGCTGCTCAATATGGACCACAATCATTCTGTGCTGGAGCTATCGATAATATACAACTTCAATCTAATCAATGGTGTATTACATTTTTAGTTGGCTTTGAATCTCCTGATATCATTCGTCCAACAATGGTTCAAGGTTCGGCTTCACCAATTGGCACTGTCTTTCAAAATCAAACGATTTTCTCGATTCAAAGTAATAGGTTGTGAATAAGTTTTTATACATTTCATTGTATTTAAATTTTGTTTTTTCAGCGACAAAATCTGTAAATCGTCCAACACTTAATGGTACTTACATCTATTTCACAGATGCTACTGCTAATAATACACTCGTTCAGAAATTCGATTGTGGTTGGGCACCCGAGGTAATATATACAGGTTTTACAACTATCATTCGTTTTCCAGTTGCACCATGGATTCCTGGACATTTTTATTATGTAACATTTGATAGTGGTATGTATACATTTATTACTCTTATACAGTATTTTCAATTAATATGTTGTTATTCTGTTTGATTTAAGGTGTCGCCAGTGGAACTGATTTTTGTGGTAAGTAATAAATTATTAATTATATCGATTAATAAATTAAACGATACATCATTGAAGGTCCTGAATCTGCTCCGATTTATGATCCAACATATTGGGTATTTAACATTTGGGATCCAGCTGTATCATCGACAACAACAACAACTACTACTCCACCAACAACTCATACAGTTACATCCTTACAAACAACTACTACTTCTATCAATACTGCAGTAAGTTTATTTCAACTAACATTTATTCCTAATATAAAAATTTTTCATAGTGTACAACATCTGGCATAGTGGTAACTACTACGGCTGCTGTTACAACTACAACAACCATAACTACTACAATTGTAACTACAGCTGGTAAGAAAATACCATTTCTTTTTTGAAATTATTATTGTTATTCATTCACTTCTGTTCTATAGGTCCAACAACAGCGGGTGCAACTACTGCAAGTGGATCAACTGAAACTACCGTTCCTGTCATGTATCCTATAGATTTCGTAAGTTTTCAATTACATAAGACTCATATTTAACACATATATAATAGAAAAATGCATGTGCACAACCAGTAGCAATTATGAGTGCTGTCATGATGGTTGCTATGGTTCCTATACAAGCTGTAGTAATGTATACTGCTTTTACGAAGTTTTCCAATATGTTTAATCCATTAAAGAAAACAGCACAGTTAAGACATGCACAAAGAATGAGAAATATTAATCGACGTTGAACATTTGACATTTATCTTCATTCATTTTTATTTTATGAAAAGATTGCATTATAGAACAAAGAACTTGTACAAGACTCAAGTTAAACATTGGACTATAAAGCAGTCAATATATTGTGATGAAAACTAAGTACGAGGGTGTGGGTGAGGGTATTGTGTTCATTCTACATTCACACCCTCAAGAATGTTTTGCTAGTTAATTGTATCATCATCAGGATTATGTTATCAATCGATAGATATGAATACTTACTGTTGTTTCATTTAATATATACAGTTCTTATAAGAAAGACATTAAAGAACAAATCTGATTCACTCGCTTGCATCATCTATTTATGATTGCACAAGATAAATGTTTTCTCTGTTATTACGCAATTCTAAAGAGAAATTACAAAAATGAATCATAGCAGTGGATAGTTTTGATCTATCGACCTTCGGATTATGAGACCAACGCGCTACCTCTGCGCCACACTGCTGGAATATATTTTCGAATGAGTAGTACAAAATTATGGAATAACAGTTACTCGAAATCATACAAGATCAAGTATTAATTATCTATGAAAAGCATCAGTTATCCCATGTAGATATCACGATTAGCATGCAGATTATTGTTTTGACTTAAAAGAATTAATTAAATAGTAGAAATAGATTTGCTCTATAATATTATTTTATTTAATTTCTATTTCCTTTCTAGGAAAAGTATCTTTATTATTATTCTTTTTCGAATTTTTGTCATTTTGGTTCCTGTTTTCAAAGAGAGTCACTTAGATAGAATCTAATTTGTAAATATAGTTGGTTTGCAATGATGAACTTTATGTATGAAGTATAACC